GGGGAGGGAGGGAAGGAGAGAGAGGGGGAGGGAGGGAAGGAGAGAGAGGGGGAGGGAAGGAAGGAGAGACAGCGGGAGCGAGAGACAGACATTCTACAGGGAGAAGAGGCGTTGATGGTGAAAATAGCTGCACAGTATTTTACTGCATATTAAAGACTGAAAGGGACATGAGAAATTGTGGACCCCTCCCTGGACTCAACCCCATCCTCCTTTATATTATCCCTCAATGTGATAACATTCTTGAACTCGCCTATTCATTTTATATTACCCTTTACTATAATAGAGAGAGGGATGAGGAGTGGAGAGAGAGAGGGAATAAAAGAGAGAAAATGAGAGAGGAGAAAGAATTAGTGTGAGAGAGGAGTGAAGAAGGGAAAAAGATAGGGCGAGTAATGGGGAGACAAAGGGAGGGGAACGGATGGTAGAGAGAGATGGAGAGAGAATGAATAATAGAGAGGAAAAAAGAAAGAGAGAGGGACAATAAGGGCAGGTTCACGCCAGCTGCTTGCTAAAACACTTAATTTTAGCGTGCAACTGGTATAGTAATGCCTTATTACACAAGGTGCGACTACACAATGCACCGCTTAGTTTTTTCTTAAGATATTTTTAAACCTTATTAGCAGTGAACAAAGTATGCACTCCATTAAAAAATCCCTACACAGCATCACGGTAACCTCCAGTGCCATAAAGTGCATTGAAAATGCATCATGTCTGCATTTGTCCACACTGCGCTGCACATCACACCAGCATCATGGTGTAAACGGGGCAAATAAAAACAGTTGATTTCTGCGTGCCCTTGTGGTGAATGGTGTTGATCCAGTGCGGAAAAAAATAAGTCACTGCAAATGATGTGAAAGAATCATAAGACAGAGAGAAACAAGATGCATGAAAAGATACAATATAAACAGACAGATTGGTAATTTTGACTTGTGATTAGACAAAAAAATTTAAATTAATTCCAAAATTATTTATGTTTAAAAATTCCATACAGATGGGTTTGACTACTTTTTCTTTTTAATTTGTGCTGATGTTTTGGTGTAAAATAATGTGCGGTTGTCAATTCTGACAAGAGTTGCCATGACAGCGGGACTAGGTAAACTTGGAATATTTACATGTTGCTGACACATTACATTAATTCTTCATCTGGCACTCACATACCTTTCTCTGCTTTCTTGGTGTCTTGCTTATCGAGGAGGAGGTAGCGTGGACTCTCTGGGAAAAATGGTAAAACCATTAGCTGTATCGCCGCTGGGATAAGAATAAATCCAAATAAGCAGGGCCATCGGGATTCCTGAAAGGTTGAAGAAAATTGTATTTTTAGTGACTAAATACATACTAATTTTATTGACTGCTACTTGTACCAGGAGAGAACTGCCTTTTCAGTCCTTTCCTTGTTTTCTGGATCCTAGTTGGGATCCTGGAGCCAGGAGATTTCTTAGAGCTCTGGGTGGGACGAAATCTCCATTCCATGGGTCCATGCCTTAATAGTGATTATGCACCTGTGTACATCCCTCATGAAGAGGGTGCTGGGATTTGTTCAGGGCCCCACCTGTGAGTCAGGAGAACTCCACCCAGGAGTCAGTGTGGAGGCCAGTGCAGCAGGGAGCTGCAGGTTCGTGAAACATATTGGGAGGATTGGCATGTTATTGCGGTTGTCTGGAGGAACCAGAGAGTGGCCCTGAAGATTGAGGCCGGAGTAGCAGTGCTACAAGAGAGACTTATTAAAAGACTGGGACACCGTGAGTGTTTGGGACAACTCAAGGATTGGTGAGCCCTTATCTGTCATATGCTACAGCAAGCTATTTATGTTGGATTTCGTGATTATCTACCGTTTTGAATTTTTGAAAAACCCGCTGTGCGAGTGCTCTGTGAGCTCCCCAATATCACAACATATATTGCACGAGCAGTGACCAAAGCTCCTGGACGTTGCTGCTGCCATCACTTCCTAAAGGGGTTTCCATACTCTTCAGAATGCGGAAGACCCCTTTAACAGGCATTTTTTCTAATACCTTTATTATAAAGTCTAGCGTATTTGACCTCTGGAACAGCTTATTTATAATACTCTTACTCCTTACTAATTATTTTCAGTAAGAAATCATGAATTTAAATGAATACTAATAATGGCCAAAAAAAGAGAAACGCAGAGAGTGAAGATTGTCTTCATGTGAACGTTGTTAATATAATCATGGCAGCAAAAAATAAATATAAAATAAAATTCAACGGTAAGAGTGTGCTTTGACAGTTAGAGAATTACATTATAGTAATATGTTATTTTAAACAGTAGTGACTTGACAATACATAGGCATATACTTGGGCCGCAAATGGGTAATCATTGCAATAGTCAGGAAGCAAATGGGCAATTGTGACAATATTCAGGCAACAATTGGGCAAAGGTGACATCATGCAGGCAAAAACAGGCAAATGTTACAATAAACAGACAACCCAATCTAAGATCTCTCTCAGCTGGCTGTACCCAGGGTGAACCCCCTGCCTCACTCATTATGCCACTGGTGGAGGTGACTGCTCTGCTATGTTTCTCTCTGTTTTAAATTACAGCAGCTCAGTGACACAGCTCTTCCCCTGTCTGGGCATCTGACCTTTACAGATTTCTATTCTGCTGCTACAGCTGTGATGCATTTTATAAGTAAGAAATATATTGGTTGTGTAAATGGCTCCAGAATATAACTGGAACCCGGCTGCAGGGGAGGGAGGGGGATGCAGCTGGGGAGAGAGCCTCTCCTGCCTCTGCATCGCCAGGCAATCTCCAATTGCAATTGCTCTGCCTTCCTTCGTAACTGTGGAGTACACAAGCAACCTTTCATAATGTAATTGTGCTATGATATCACTAGCAGTCAGATGTATCATTTAAGGGCTACACGTATGAAGCAAATTGCTACCTATAAAGTGAGGTACACAGTCACAGAGTTGGGTCAAGCCGGAGGAAGAAGAGGTACTTGTCTTGGCACCATGCTGCGTTGGGGCACAGCTGGGACAGAAGACTCTCCTGCCTCTCCATTGCCAGGCCATCACCTGCACTGTCCAGGACTAAGCTTTTAAACTGATAGCTCAGTACTGCAGAATACCCTTGTGTTGCAATATTGTGGTTATCATATGCTTGGATGATCCCACAAAATGTTCATTATGACAAATTGCAGATAATTGCCAAAGTAAGTAACTGCACCAGGTAGATACTTGTAGTTCATAATTAAGCAATAGAAATTGCTATCTAGGGTTGAACATTGGTGAGCATAAGGCCCTCTCGTGCAATTCTGGTAAACCTCTTGGTTGCACATTGAGGTTCATGGTATTCTCCTAATGGCTATAAAGAGCCTCAAGTAACGTTATTACATGCACACTTCACAGCTGTGATAATTAAATATAAATAGAATGGCCTCACTGAGGGATATTCTACATCAATAACCACTCTAGCAATGCATGTGATGAATGCTATTATCCGGCAGGTACAAAGGCAACATAACGTCATGTTGGTCCCAGTAATATATCTAGCAAATACCGGAGTCAAGTTTGGGTGGTGCAGGAGAAAGCAGCAAACGTGGCTCCTGCTTTTACAGTGTCATTGCGGTGGGCTACCTCAGAGGGTATGCAAGGGTTACTATGGATAAATGTGTCAATTCATTCATCAAAATGATAGTTCTAGCAGCCAGTAGTTTTCTCTTTAAAGACTCTATTCTTGCTTTGTTAACAACTGCTTTTAAGGCACCTTTTACACCACTCAAGCATTTCAAATGTGTTAAAAGTTTGTATACAATAATTGAGTTTCCATGTACATTTTTTCCATTGACAAAAGTAGCAGACCTTTTTTTCTTTGTATTTTATCATAAAAGAGCTGCTTTTAAACTACAGAAACTTCCATTGTTTATTCAAGTGTGTTGTGGAAAACTGTACACTCATAACTGATTCATGCTATCTGTATTTTATCCTTGGTTGCTCTGCCTTAACAGTGTTCATCTTTACAGTATGGATTTATTTAAAAATAACAGCACATGAAGATGGACACTGTATAAACTATTTTAATAAGGTTTCCAGTACAACTGGAAATCTCATTTGTTTGTGATTGCTAAATGCATAGTGCCCATGTTTTGTTGCGCTTAGGAGCTACAATTCCAAATTTCACCTGCAGCCCCACTACTTCTTAAATCTGATATTGGAGACTGTCCATAATATACAGAGGTTCCTGTTGGAAATGCAACAGCATATTCTGATATGTACTGATTGTATTACTGATATTCTAATGTACCGATATGCTGTTATGTCTTTTGAGCTGTAGATGGCGCTGTAGTGCAATGTTAGTCTCTCTATATGCAAGCTTATCTATGATACACAGGAAGTTTTATTATCTATGTTTACTGCAAATGTTGTATTCTGATGTAATATTCTTCTAAACAAGATGTAATATTCTTCTTAGCAAGTAAAACTTAATTCAGCATTCCTCAAGCTCTCAGTGCTTCATCTAAACACATAACCAACAGGTTATGAGCCCCAGCACTAAACAGAACACTGCAAGTCAACAGGAGCCGCATTGAAGCTACTGAAAGATGGCAAGCGGTTCAGATGTAAAGTTTACAATCGCAAACCTCAACAATAGTAATTACCAGCTATGGAAGTTCAAGCTTGAAATGCTGGTAAGCAAAAGACGACTTGTGGCAAGTACTGCGTATAGACAGACCCACTAATGGACCCACGGAGGAATGGAACAAGAAAAACAGGCAAGCAAAAGCAATTATAAGTCTGCTAGTGGAAGACCACCAGCTCATCCACATAAGAAAAGAGAATACAGCTAAAGGTATGTGGACTGCATTACAAAAACTGCATGAACATTCAAGCCGAAACAGTAAACTGTATCTGCTTTGCAAGCTATATAAGATGAGGCTAGAAAAAGGCCAGGCAATGCATGAACATGGGAATGCCATGCTGGAAATCATAGAACAGCTAAGTGTAATTGGAGAGGAAATTAAAGATAAAATGATGGTGACATTACTGCTCTGCAGCCTTCCATAGTCATACAGTGCTTTTATTAACTCTAGAAACCAGACATGAGCAGGAACTAACACTAGAATACACCAAAGGAAAATGAATCTATGAATTTGACAGAACAAAAGAAAATATGCACAATGGAGAAAACGAGAAAGCCCTTAAGGTGCATCAGAGCGCAAACCAAAACAAAGAAAGCAGTGTGTGTTTTTGCTTTGAAAAGACTGGACAACCAAAAAAAAACTGTTCGCTCTGGAAAGCCGAGCAGCGAAAGCGAGGGGCACCTACAAGAGAAAGATCTAAGGCAGCCACAAAGAAACTGCAGGCACATCATGGAGCGCTAACTTTAAAGTGACTCAGAACAGCATACCACATGAATGGTGTATTGACTCAGGCGCAACAAGTCACATGACTAGTGATGAGACCTTTTTCACAGAAATTAATTTCAGTGCAAAGGATAAAGTTTTCCTAGCAAACCGGAAAAGTATTACTGCAGAAGGTAACAGCAAGGATTCTTGAACTCCATCACACCATCAGGGTACTAGCAGACTATCCTTGTGAAAAATGTACTGTATGTCCCAGACCTAGAAGGAAGCCTTCTATCAGTAAAAAAACGTTTCCATAACATGGAAAGAACATTCCAGAACATAGCCATAGAAGGCATTCTGGGGAGCTATAGTGAAGAAAGTAAGGGATATAGAATCCTCCACCCAAAGACTGACAAAGTGATAATAAGCCACAGCATTTATTTAGATGACAACCCAACACCAGAAACAATGACCCCAAAAAGGTTTATTTTGCAGGGAAATTTTCCTTAAGCTTAACGAATGAGGTGAAGCTCATCTGCCTTATATAATCTAATCATGTGCAAGCAAAAATACAGTTTTTTTATGTTTTGCTTGCTCCTTTTACCTTGATTGGGTATTTTTTGCAAAGTGAATTTTCACCTTATGTACTTAATTTCCTTGCAAAATAAAAAATTCCCTTGCAAAGTGATTAGCCTACCGGTATTTGCCTAAGTAAAGCAACCCTATTGAGTCAACTATGAATGTTGCATCATATCAAAGTTTGATTGATGAAAATGTGAGGCCATCTATTAAAGATGAACTGTAAATGTATCTTTCAACATGATAATGATCTGAAGCACACAGAAAATCTGTGTCCCAAAGAGAAGAAATTAAGTGATATGAAATGGACTAGCCAAAGCCATGAATTGTATCCCGTTAAAATGTTATAGGGAGAATTGAAATGGGCAGCTCATGCAAGGAAATCTACAAACATCTTGCAACTGAAGGAATT